CCCCAAAACCCCAAAACCCCAAAACCCCAAAACCCCAAAACCCCAAAACCCCAAAACCCCGAGGAGAGTACAAGTGATTGAAGTAGAGATTAGAGGTCTATTATAAGGTCCTTTGCGATCACACGGAGGTCAGACAGGTGTATAGGGTCGTATACGGTTTCGAAAACTTGGATTTTCTTCGAGTCGTTGACTACTTTGTACTCAGAAGAGCATTTTTCAATCTTACCCTCTCTGGTTTTGTATTTTAGATATCTCTTTTTGAGGAAGAATGGCTTTAATTTCTTGTACGCAGCCTCGTGGTGGCTATTTAATTCACTATCTCTAAAAAGATATGCTCTATCTAGAGGTCTTTCAGTTGATGCATGCATGAATAAAACACCTTGAATCTGTAAAGCGAAATCTTTAAAGATGGCATAATTCTTTTCATAAATTTTATCTGATCTTTCTTCTTTAAGTAATGCAATTCTGTATACTTTGTATTTCTTGAGATTTGTCCCAAAAACTCAAGATAGAATCTTGCCAAACCTATTTTAATCTCTTATGAGGAGAATAAGTGATAAATTTCTGGAGCAGCTTAATATACTCTGGATTCTCATCAAGTTGTTTATAAACATAAGAAGGTTCTTTTTGCGATTCAATCAGAGTATTAGACATCAGATTAGTCGATTCTGTAGTCTTTGAGATAAATGAGTCATCAATAGAACCCAAATCAGTTTCCTCTGTCTGCACTGACGGAGTAGAGCTACTACTGACGCTTAAAGGCACTTCAATCTCTACTTGATGCTTATTAGGCTGACCTCTACTACTAATATGAATTGTATCAACTTGGCTGGTTTGGTCTCAACTTAAATCTTCACTTTCATCTTTGTTGTCTTCATCTTTTAAAGACCTCACTTGTATTTTCTCGACCACTCTTCCTATTATTAAGTCAATATTCTGCGTCAGAAGCTTCAACTTCTTAAATTCACTCAGAGTCTCCATTTCTTGCTAAAATTTTACTAAATATTATATTAAAGCTCAATATATCTGAAATATTACGGGGTTTTGGGGTTTTGGGGTTTTGGGGTTTTGGGG